TATTTCATGCTAATTCGGCAGTATCGGTATGTCAAATTACAATCCCGGCTCTGTTAGTTCAGGTGGGCAACTCATTACGAATTTACCTGCCTGTATATGGCAGAGCTATTGCTGAAACATTCACACGTTATAAGTATATCTTAATTTTGTTTTCCTCATTAAGGCCATGAAGGAATCAGAGAATTTAGATGCTTGATAGTTCGGCTGGGCGCACACTGATCCAGCATTTCACCTGAAGCAAAATGTTGCACAACGATTTGCTTGAAGCGTTTTGTTTATTTGCTTCTCCAGTGTGCGGGAGGTTCAAGCATGGTTTCAAGAAAAATTAAGAAAAATAAAAATTAGAATTACATATTATGTCTACTCGTCTTATACTGCAGTATTGTTTTAACATATGTGACAAGGAAGTCGACTATTGCTGTATGTCAGTTTTTGCAAAATGCTGGACTAAATAGAAAGACAACATTGGTTTCCCCCAATCAATCTGTTGATAGACAGCTTTCCTCTCAGAAATTAAATCAGATCCAGGGAAATTTTACAATCATTGTCGAATAAATGCTATACTATTTTATGGAAAGGGTTTTAAATACCATAAGAAATTATTATTAGATAGTGTCGTGATGGTTAAATAGGTAATGATTAATGAACTGAATAACCTTGATAATTTCTTAATTATTTTACTACTTTGCATGACAACCAAAATGTTAGCAAGAAAAATTAACAACAGTATTGTTCAATATAAATTCAAAATATAATTGTTAAGTTATAACGCAACTTCTGAATTCATTTTTCAAAGAAGAGTTATTTTTTAATCAACAAACGGTCAATTGAATTTTGAAAGCCACTTAAGCTTTACTAGCTAGAAAGGATTTGGCGCATGCGCAGAACGTTTTGCTCCTTGAAACATCAAACATCGTGCTGTATGGGATCCATTCGTCGAGCAACTGCTCAAATGTTTCAAGGCGTTGCGAGGCGCCTCGCAACATTTGCTTGATCAGTATGCGGCGTCCCATTGAAATACATGGGGTGCTCGTACCCAGCGAAACATTTTGCCTCGCAACACTTGCTTCAGGTGAAATGCTTGATCTGTGTGCGTCCGGCCTAAGGGAGGTCTGATATACAACTGTGGGCAAAAATAAGAAAATATGTCTTCCAACCTGAAATCCTCCGCAAAGATGCTCCTCCCTGTTAAGAACAGGAAGCTTAAGGCTTTGTAAATGTTATGGTCTATTCCTCTTCACAGTTGGAGTGCTGTGGTGTCAACAGCTTCGAGGATTGGCAGTATTCTGTGTGGAAGCGGCAAAGTTCTGAGGCTCCTGTGAGAGTTCCAGACACTTGCTGCCTCAGTCCTAGTCCAGGCTGTGGCCGAAGCATCAACCCCAGCAACATCTTCTATGCGGTACGTAATACACCAGTAAACAACTTGGAGACACTTACATGGTGTCCCACTTTATCGTATATTGTATACTCAAATAATGTCTATGCTATAACAAAATATCATAAAGGCTACAACCCATGTCTGAGGTTTTAGGAGGAAAGCCACAGGGAATGCTCCTCCGAGAATACTGTTCTGGAGCCGCATCTGGCCTCAACCAGTCAACTTTTGATGTTAACTCAAGCTTTTTCTTAAAGGATAGGCCTAGTTACTGAACATGTTCAATTGTGCTCATGAAAAAAGAGAGATCTTTGTAATAGCATATTGCGTTACTAGTCCGGACTGGACGAGTGTGGTCGTGGGATTACCATACGAGTCCAGTAAACACATTTTGGACGAGAAACGTAGAATATTTTTTTCCTACAGTCACCCGACAAAGTGAGCTTCCTTGCACAGGTTATAGTACAGAAAGCCTTACTTTGGTGCACAGTTTTTACTTTGGCGAACACCAGTATTCCAACCAAACAACACAAAACAGCGTGCTTTTATTAGGCACGTAATACGTGAACGCTTGAAAATAAGTTGGCAACACTTAAAGATATTACGACTACGATCAGCTGGTGCAGCGTTTCCCTTTTTGTTCAATGTTTAGATTTCACCTAACTTAAAAACGTGTTGTATAGTGTTTGAAAAACTAATTATTTATATAATTGATAGAGTAACTGTAGGAAAAATATAATGTGTAACACGAGTGCAAACTGCCTTTGCTGCACTCGAGAAACTTTCCAAAAGTAAACATTCCAGTAAACATTTCACTCGTGTGCAGCAAAAAATGTCACTTTGTCCACTAGTTACACAAATTAACTTTTGCCATGCTACTCTATGCTGACCTAAGAATAAAAAAAAACCTGTTTAAGTTATATATTCGCACCGACTTAACGACCAACAATAACTACTGAGAGAGGTTAAGTTTTTGTTTATAACCACTTCTTCCCAAATATGATCAGCTGTTGTCCGGTAAAAGCTCATTACAGTACAATAAAACACAGTACAACCAGTAATAAAACAGTATAATGAAACCCTATTTGATTAAGCTGGTGGCAAAAAAAGCTGTTTTCCGGACTAATTTCATGTGTGGAAAGTCTATTAAAACAGTGTAGTATGGTGAAAAAGAATTATTTGATCACTATATAAAGCTTGAAAGACTTGAATGACCTAAGTTTCATATAGGAAACTTAGGTCATTCAAGTTTTTGAAACTAGAATTGAAAATAAAAAAAATATAGAAACTGACTCGTCCATAGGTTAGTTATTGATAAATTAATAACTACAGTGGAACTTTGATAACAAGACCCTTCTTAGCACGTCATCCTCGATAACAAGTGTCATTTTCTTATTCTCTAGAATTTAGGTTACCTTCCCCTAACATAAAGGTTCTACTGTAAATTCTTTGAGTGTAAGTATTCTTCAAGCTTTAATTATTCTTTGAGGTACAAGTATTATTTGAGGTACCACCGGCACAAGTACTCTTTGAGGTACCACCGTTACAAGTATTCTTTGAGGTACCACCGGTACAAGTATTCTTTGATGTACCACCGGTACAAGTATTCTTTGAGGTACCACCAGTACAAGTATTCTTTGAGGTACCACCGGTACAAGTATTCTTTGAGGTTTATGCCTTCAAGTGGTCCACTGTTTATCTATCTTATGATCTGCTTGTACAGGGCTGCAAGGACGGGTTTGTGGAGGTGTTAGTGGAGCAGCTAAACATCATAGGAGCGGTGGGTCTGGGTCTCTGTGTGATCCAAGTCTTCGGCATGATTCTGTCCTGCTGTCTCTACCTCAAACTTCGCTACATTACCGACTACGTCTGACTTCAGAATCTTCAAGATTCCGTCCACCTGTACTTAGTCAGTGGTCAGAGACATTCAGAGATCACTCTAATCCGTCAATTCTGTCATTGATGTTTGCTTTATTTATTTTCATTAAAAGATCTTCGCAACGCCTAGTGTATGTGTAACAGTTAGACTAATAAGGAAAATGAAGCTTGTTATCTTTGTTCCTTTATGTTTAATGTACTAACATGTAAGTTCTGTTGAAGTGTATATATGTAGGGAATATATGTGTAAATAAATATACCAGTAACTGAATTTTGTAGTATATGTGTTTTATTTTGTAATCTTAGTCTTTGAAGGATGGGTACTTGTGTGGTATCTTGGTGTTGTCTGGCAATGTTATAGAAAGAGCTCCCACCCTCGTCTCTTGAGCTACTAAGGCTAATTTATTGGATGCAACTCTACTTCCACTTACAACAATCTTTTCGATCATATCTCATCTAAAAATCTAAAATCTTGTACCTGACAAAACTTGTACTGCAGCCAGGGATTTTATTTAATTTCATTTTTGATTTTTTGTTTTTGATCACGGCTGATGTTAATATTCCCATGATAGCGGGAGATGTTGAGGGATCACGATTCAGCCCCGATTGTGGGTGGCGATAACAATGTCCCCTTAATAGAGGGAAATGTTCACAATTTTGCTTTGATTGCAGGCAATTCTTTTTGCATTTCTTTTCCACCCGCGACTCCTGGCTTGATCCACCACTGATATTAGACAAGACAATCAAAGTCTTAGCAATTATCACAAAGTATCATCTCAATTAAACACATTTGAGCAACAAAAACTCCATTTTCTGAATTAATTTAAGACGTTGGCTGCTAAAAATCAAGAAAAGATGAATTTTTTATTCTTATTGAGGAATTACAAGTTTTGAGAGCTGTATGCTTGTGACAACCAAATATTAAAAAAAATCTTTTATTTGTTCTTATAAAAATCGTACTTACATGTTTAATGGACACATAATAATATACCAATTTTTAAATTATTACGTTTTTAATATTCTAATATAAGTACCATTAAACCTTTGGGCCATTTTCTAAAAAATAAGTTTGTGTGCCTCGTGTTAAGAATTAATGTAAAATGCCATTGGCACTAAGAAAAATCCACAGTTGGGTGGTGAAAGGGCGGCAAATTTATAACTTGCCCCCTTTCCCTAGAAAGATTTGTAGCTGCTGCCCTGGTTGTTACAGGCTTAAGCTACGTTCGAATACTGAATTGTATACATAAGAAACAAACAAATAATCAAATCAATCTAATAGAGGAAACACCTAATTAATTGTGGTGATTCTTAAATTCTTAATATTTTGTCAGATTTGTTTATTTATTCTGTTTGTTCTTTGTTTGAAGTTCATTGTTGGTGATGGCGAGTTAATGTTGTTCAAAGGTTTATTGGGGACATTTTCCATCACAATGGAAAATACCATCATTTTTTTTACCATCGTGAATGTCCCAATAAACCTTTGAACAACATTATTCTGTTTGATTGTTATTTTAATTCTAGGATCGGTTTCAAATTTAATTTAGGTTTAATAAAATCTAAGTTTTCTTCTGAAAAGGTTTATTACAAATTTAGTTTAAGATGAGATTGGCAGGTCATATAATAAGAAAAGAAGACAACACTTTACCAACGGAAGTACTGTTGTAGAACCACCCAGAAGTAAGAAGTCCCCTAGGTACCAAGTAGAAAATGACATAAGAAAACTGGGTAGAAGGAAGGAGGATGCAAGATGCAGAGATGTATGGTGGCAGTGTGCTGGGGAGGCCAAGTACCATTTAGGGTACCAGTGGCCACAGCAAGTAAGTAAGTAAGTAAGTAAGTATTACAATATTACATGACTAGTGCACCTGTTGCTCGAATTCGAGCAATTGCAAAGTATTACAGGTGTTATTTCAAAACAATTATAAAAATAAAACAAAATAAGTAACAAGAACAAAAACCAAAAACTACTCATGTAATGTTACAATGTGCAAACCACAAGCAACAAGAGGTTGATCGTTAAAGTCAAAATCATGGTAAAATGTTCTGGATGTTGCCCTTTTGGCCAGGATCAAAAACAGCAACAGTGATTAAGAGTTCGATCTTAATGGAACTGCTATCTTTTGCAGGCAACTCAAAAGGCATGCAACTACTTCTTGGGCCCATAGCGCATCACATGCAGAATATGGCTGGGTGCTTATAGTGCTCGCCTAAGAATGAAAGGTTGCACAATTGATCCTAAAAAAGTCAGTAGCTTTTTGGTGGTTCGAAACTGGATCCAGCTGTCACCTGATCATTGAGCTTTAAATCAAATAACCCTGGCTAATAAAACAGATATTATTAGTCAGTAAAAAAGCTATAGATCATCTCACTCCATTCTATACTAATTCTTAATCATATTTATTTGGGTAAATAATATGCACGTAGGTGGTGTTTTCATCTCAATACTGTAATGAGAATAAGACTATAGACTAACCAACACAAGTAGACTTCTCACCCCATTGTAAATTTTGAAGCACGTTTTTCGTGTCTAGTTCATGTACAGTGACAGTGGGCGCTAGTGTTGAAAAAATTTTGTTCCTATTATTTTAGGGTTAATCTTTATTTGTGCTTTACTGTTTGGTTATATAACTAGGGGATAAGTTATTGTTTATGATTAGATCGTATTGTTTGGTTAAACGAGGTTTTGAATGACTGTAATAACGGGAAACAAATTGTAAACAAAACAGAACCTCTACATAGACCATACTGTACAGAACTAACAATAAAATTGTCATCAGCTGTTTCATTAGGATGAGAAATCTACTAAGGGAGTATGTTTTATCTATGATACTATGTCAAGTGCCAGAATATTAACACAGGCAATTGAGCATTATCTTGTTTTGTCAGTGCAAACCCCTGTACACTGTATAGGAGTTTTCCATTACTTTTATCTAATGGATTGTATTATCATTTTGTTCCCTTGGAAAACCTGCTAGTATCGATAAATGTGTAGTGTACTTTGAACATCAGCTTTTCTTTACTTTTAGAAATATTTGGAAGTTTTTAGTTTGATATTGTTCTTGACAAGTGCTTTGCAATGTTTGTATTTTTTATACTAACACTGGTTACTGTGCTATGTTTTATATATTGGTTTTTAACAAAAAATAACAACTATTGGAAGGACAAAGGTATTCAATACATTGAACCTGCTTTCTTCTATGGCAGTTGTAAAGATGAAGTATTAAACAAAGCATCATGGAGAGAATTTCCTAGAAAATGTTACAAAAAGTTCAAAAACCACCAATTTGGAGGAATATTCTATTTGAATTTTCCAGCATTGTACGTCTGTGATGTTAAGGTTATTGAGACAATTTTAGTAGAAGATTTTTCATTCTTTAAAGACAGGTGGGTGAAATTTAAAAACCCTTTAGTAGATTCGCTCACATTCGGCAAAGGAGAAGAATGGCGTGAAAGACGTCTTAGAATTGCTCCAGCCTTTGGTCCTGGCAAAGTACGGGGTATGTTTCAGCAGATATTTGGTGCTACGGATGGAATACTTAAAGAAATTGAAGACCAAAATGCAAGAGAAGAATGTATAGAAATAGAAAATTTAGCAAACCAGTTCTCTATAGATGTAATGTCCAGTTGTTTGTTTGGAGTAAATATGCTTCACTCCCGTGAAGCCATTCTGATTAAAAAAGCCCTCGATGAAATGTACGTTGTTTCAAAAAGTCACCCGATAATAACGATGATAGGGTTGAAGTATCCAAAAATTTTTGATTTTCTATACATGATCAAGGGCTATCGAGATGCAATTATTTCCTACGTGAATGTAATCAATGACATAATTCAATTTCGGGCGACAAACAAAACCAAAAGAAACGATATTCTTCAAGTTATGCTAGACTTGGAAGATCAAGACGAGGAAATAAGTGAAAATGTGAACAAATCTAAAGCTGAGCAAACTAATGAAAATAATGCAACTGTTACCTCTCAAAAATCTAAACATATTTTCAGCCATGAATTAATTGCTGCAACAATACATAACTTTTACCACGCAGGTATCAAGCCAACAGCCGTAACCATTATGTTTGCTCTTTATGAAATCGCTAGACATCCAGAAATCCAGGATAATTTAGTAGAAGAAGTAAAATCATCATTGACAAAATACAAGGGATGGAACCCTTGTGCTCTTGAACACATGACATACTTGGATCAGGTTATTCAAGAGACTCTCAGGCTATACAGCTTCAACATTTCACTGTCTAGAGTCTTGACCAAACCCTACACCTTGCCTGGGACTAACGTAACTCTAGATGAGGGAATGAATGTTTTTGTTCCAATCGATGCCATTCACAGAGACCCAGAGTTTTATCCGGAACCAGAGAAATTCAGACCTGAGAGATTCGATGGTATTGATAAGTACTTTTATTTAATTTTCTATTAAACTTTGGTCCATTTCCAAGCTATCAAAAAGATTTTGACCTTTCTAGGATTGGGCCAACAATCTTCTGATTTTAATAAGCTTAAAGTACAAGTACTCCATAGATGGACTCTTTTAAACAATATGTATACCAATAAATTAGAATAGCCTCGTAGCTTAGTGGTTATGGTGCTTGCTTTGTAACAAAAAGATTAGCTGCTCAATCCTGAGAAGAGTCAGCAGCATTTTGATGGCTCAAAATAAAGATCACAGCTGTCTGTGGTTTTCAGGCTTTCCCAAAGGTCAACACTAAAGAAACAGCTGTTCCTAGTCGTAAAACAGACCACAAAGATTATGATACTCCATTCTTCTCGCTATGCTTCCATTCTACTCACCATACAGTTACTCACCATATCACATTTAGCTTAAAATAATACAACTAAAAAAAGTGTTCTGCTGCCTTAAAGGATTTTGATTTATTTATTGATTGAATTCCTTTTTTGAAGAATAAACTTCTTGTTGTAAATAATTTGAATTAGAGTAGCATCAAAGCAAACTCGTTATTGTCTAAAAAAATATTCTTCTCATTTAAATAAGACAGCCAAGGGTGACTACTGACTGACTACCTTACCTTTTGGTGACAATCATAAGCAGCCCACACACTACACCATGCCAAAAACAGATGAAACGTGCAATTGTGTCGTGAACACCGTACAAGCACGGTGTGCATTGACATGGCTCAGTGGAAATGAAAACGAGTTTGATTTTTGACGTGCCATTCCAAAACACGCCGTTTTGACGTGCCAGTGTGTAGGCGGTCCCGTGCCAGGTTCTGGTATTTAAAAAAATTTCGACAGGGATTGACCCTATAATAGTTATTCTTTCTTATTAGTTTTTTATTGTACAGCATTTTGTCTTTGGCATGACCATCGATATTTATATTATAACACAATTGATTCAAATCAAATCAAATCAAATCAAATTACATGATTACATGCTGTATGTGATGCGTGAGCCGAGATGCAGTCATGGTTCTCTATATTATATTATAGAGCACACATCCTCCACCACAGTCCTGTGAACCGAGTGCTGTGTTTGTATATCTGTTTGGCAGAGGTGTAAGGTCTGGACTAACCTAAGGCGGTTTAGTGCTGTGTAGTATATATTTTTTAATAATTAATTAAGTATGTTCTTAAAACATGCCATATGTGTGTGTTCTGCATTTAATTTTTACGAATAGACGATGCAATTTGGCAGGTTGCAGGCTTCACTGAAGATCAATTGTGAGGGCAACAACGTCCCGTGCTAGGGCACGACGTGCCATGCACGTGTAGTGTGTGGGCCACTTAAACGGTGCCAGACAGAAACCGCGTACTTACATATTGCTTGTTGAATAATGCACTCTGGTGAGCACAATATAAACTAATCTAATGGCTACAGGTCATCACTACAAGCCTACCTCTACGTTCCTTCCCTTCGGCCAAGGCCCTCGCATCTGTGTGGCTATCCGCATGGCTGTCACTACAGTCAAACTCTGCCTTGCTCGCATATTGGCTCAATACCAGGTAATTACTATAGTTCGGCCGCTTAGAAAACGACCTGCGCGCTAATGCTAAACCAATGCTAGAGGAGGTCGCTTTCTAAGCGGCCGAACTATAGCTGGATAGTCAGTGCTCAATTTGTGGGGGAACGTGTCGGAATGGAGTTCCCCTACCTCTCTTTCGGAAAGATAATACCCCCGCCGCAGCAAACCTGCAGACTAAGCGAATTTCCATTTGCCTGATTGGATTTACACTAAAATGTCTCCTTAAAAATATCACATTTATACCCTATTTAAATAGAATCAGTTTAACACATACTTAGGTTTGCTGCAACAGGGAGGGTATAAGTGTTTTTTGATGTAAAATGTTAATAGTTAGTAAGAAATTAAAACATTTTCCAAATTTGGGCAAAATATGTTCATAAACAAGCAAACTACAACAGTTTACTTATTCTCCTTAAGAATAACATGGGAATTTTAAATTAACAATTTCTCCGTAACCATTAGGCGCATTATAACGCTTCAATATACTAAATTATTTGTTTTTTTAAGCTCTACAAAATAGTTTGGAAAGAAATTACAAAATTCTATGTTTTTTTGGTCAAGAATTGGAAAAACCCATTTTTACCCCATAAAAGCCCCCACAAACCCCCGTTCCCATGGTCCGATCATGCTGGTTCGCGAACTCGTTCGAATAAACGTAGGTTTACACGTTTGTACCAAATTTCATCAAAATCGGATCATTTTTGCTCGAGTTATCGCGCTAACGGACATATATATATATATATATATATATATATATATATGAATTTGAACGGATGGTGTTTTTGGCCTCTAGGGACCTCAAAATGAAAAAAAAATCAGTCCCGGGTCCAGGTCTTACCATGAGTACTACGGTAATAGCTTATTCCCTATGTGGGAAATTCGCTAAAATTCCCTATATGGGAAATTCGCTAAAAATATTGGTATAAATAGGTACTAATTACATTAAATTAGTTACAGATCTGGTACCTCATTTTTTACAAATCAAGCACTGCGGACAACATTTTATGATGGTATTGTCACTAGGTGGTACCTATGGTATTTCAGATAGTCAAAAGTCAAATAACAATTTTGACTAGTTACTTACCTCTGTTAATTCAATAGCTTATATAACCATTGACAGTTTATTTTTGTTGGGATACAATAAGAATAACTAGCCTATATGTGTCATACAAAAGATTGTTTTACAAATTCAAGATGTGCTCTGACGTTGTTCTTTCCTTATAAGCAGACTATGCTTTCAGTACAGTATATGTTGACAATCAGGTAACAGCCAGGTGTCATGGTTTTTGGACTTTAATTCACCAAGGTCGATGGTCTGGTATGTAGCTTATGAGGAATTAACTCTGACTGAGGTAGAGACCCTCAAAAACACAGCCCAGGTATAAGTTGACGAGATGAGTGGATGTGTTACACTTCTCAGGGGTTTTGAAACTTTTACCCTCCTTTTCTCTGTGCCCACAGCTGAATTGTGATGATATTTGATTTTGTGTTTACAAAATGGAGAAAAGAATTAAAAATATTGCTCAACGCTTAATTGAACCCATCAATAATGCCTGGGAATTTGAGGGTTAAATTGATTATTTTAATAGTTAATTACTTTCACAAATTTCTTAATATTGATCAACACATTTTCCAGGTGAAGATTGCAGACAAGATGCAGCTTCCCCTGGAGCTGATTCCGAGTGAGTTCTACCCCAGACCTAAGGGTGGCATGTGGCTGCAGTTTGTGCCAAGAGAAAATGTCACACAGTAACTTATATGTTAATCATGGGACCATTGCTATCTGTAATTTATAATCCTATCCTGTACTAATTAAAGTATGATTTAACACACTCTATGACTTCAGATTTATGATTTTGGTACCTAAAGATGTGGAAAAACTTTCTACAACGTGCAAGGTAGAATAAGATTATTTTCCTACATATATCAATGTTCTGTGGTTTTTAAGTAATTGAAGGAAACTGTATATTTGAGTTCCAAACTTGTTTACATATGTAATTTGTCTTGTAAGGTTTATTTATGTGAATAAAATGTGGGAGCCTCTAAACCAGAGATCTATAAACCCTTTTGACATCCTATTGTTATCCAAATATTTTGTAGGTTGAAAATTCTTCCAAATCATTGTAGAGTTCATAAAAATGCACTAAAGTAGTGTGAATTCAGTAATTCATTTGACAGTATTATACCAGTGGAATGCTGCAATTGATAAATACCAACATTTTATCAACGCCTGCAACTAAACGACGCTAACCGTTCAATTGGCGCGTGTATTATAGTAGTATCATAAGTTTGGAAGGAGCTAAAAAATCGCGTTGGACACAGAAACCAGACCAAGGACGTCAACATGTCATTCAGCGAAAGGTTCATCCTTTGGAAAGTAACGCACCTACAACATTATCGGCATTGCCTTTAGAGGACTGGATTGCGATATGTTCGGCTAAATGACCGACACTCGAAAAGGGAATAGATACTAATTTTGTGATTGTAAAATGTAATAGTGGCATATAAACCATAGTATCTGGATTGTTGTAGGTTTATAATATAGATATATAATTTTTGCGTTAAGGTTTCACCTTTGAAACGCAAACTACCACAGATACGACAATAGTATTATAATAAGTATAAGAGTTTACATACTTATTCCCTTCTTTGTGGTATTACTGCTTTGCTTATACCTGCCGATTGCTTGGGGCAGAATTAAAAATGAAGGTTTTGCTGATCGAGATTGGTTTTGAGATTTTTAGTGCTTGCACAACGCTCAGAAACGCTTTTTCCTACAGTTACTAAACAAAGTGGGCTTCCTTGCACTGATTAGAGCACGCCAAGTAGTAAATTGGGGCATTTACTTGATTTTGCCGCACTAATTTTTTTGCCGTACTCATTTTTTCCCGATTTCGTTCAAAGCTTGTTAACCTAACCCAAAAACGTGTTGTATAGTGTTTGAAAGACCATAGTTATTTCGTTATTTGTATAGTTATTTGTATTTTGTCTATACAGTAGTTATTTGTAAAAACTAGTGGGCGAAGTAGAACGCTGCACACGAGAGAAATGTTTACGCAGGCGAGTGTGGAAAGTTTCTCGAGTGCAGCTAAGGCAGTTTGCACTCGCGTTACACGTTATATTTTTCCTACATTTACTATAAAGCATATAAATAATTGATCTTTCAAACACTATACAACACTATTTAGGTTAGGATGTTAAATCCAAACATTGAACGAAATGGGAAACGCTGCACCATGTGATCGTAGTCTAAATATCTTTAAGTGTTGCCAACTTATTTTCAAGCGTTCACGTATTAGGTACGTGCCTAATAAATGCACGTTGTTTTTTGTTGATTGGTTGGAATACTGGTGTGCGGAAAAAAACGGCAAAATTAAGTAGATGCAGCAATTAGCAACTTTCTGTACGGAACTGTAATATGCTTTATAGTAGTTTAACTGTAGGAAAAAATGTAATGTGTAACGCGAGTGCAAAGTGTCACTTCGCACACTAGTTAAGTACACAAATAACTATTTCCAAAACATGATGATTTGTTTTACATAATGTGATAAAATAATGAAAAATGTGTTTTTACAATTATTATTGTAGACATTTATACAGTGTAGCTAACTTGTAAAACAAAATATTCTTGGTACAGTACTAGGTTTTTAATATATTTGGCAAAGCTGCTAAAATTCATTCAACGTAGTACAAAAATCGTGATAAATAATGGTTTTAACGAATTTCTCTATAAGGAAGTAGCTATTACCGTAGGTGGCATTAGGCCCGGGACCGATTTACGTTTTCATTTTGATGTCCCCAGAGGCCAAAAACACCATTCGTTCAAATTTTTATATATGTATATATATAGATTTATATATATATATGTGTCCTTGAACACGATAACTTGAGTAATTTGTGTCCGATTTTGATAAAATTTAGTTTGAAGGTGTAAAGTGGCATAAACTTGAATGAGTTCGCGAACCAGCATGATCGGACCATGGGAACGGGGTTTTACGGGGGGTTTTATGGGGTAAAAATTGGTTTTTCGAATTCTTGATCCTCTAAACCCCAATTTCTTCTCAGACCTTTTTGGAGAGCTTTAAAAAACAAATAATTCAGTATATCAACTTTTTTTGTATAATAATTAGTTACGGATAAAATTCAAAAAATTGTTATTTAAAATTCCCATGTTATTCTTATGGAGAATATTGTAAAATGTTGTAGTTTGCTTGTTTATGGATATATTTTGCGACCATTCCGGCGACCCTTTTGATCAAACTTGGTAAATTTATTTATTTTGTACTAAGTTATTAATATTAAAAAAACAGATTTTTTCATCCTCCCCGTAGCCTATGTACTCATAAAACCTAATGTTAATTAAATACATTTAATTGAAAATAAATTCAGACAACTGGAAATTCACTTAGTCGGCAGGTTTGCTGCGGCGGGGGTATTGAGTTTAATTATTTACTTAAGACGCTCAAGTAGACAGTAGGCCTACGTCTGCATGAAAAATCTGAAGCCTATTTTCATCTCTCTCGTGCCCGGTTGACGTTTATAGTTTGTTACTAACTGGGACTCCAAGTGGTATGGAAGTTTGGATTAAATTAAATAAACTATACTGCATGAAAAAGTCTGTGCTACTCCGGGGCCGTTGGTAACCTCTTGAAGGCAATGAAAATTTACACATTAAAGCTTGATTAGTGTAATCTTAATTTTAAAATTAGTTAATACTGAAGCACATCGTAAACAATTTAGAAAAACACAAAAAAATTCAATGTGCTTGCTTGACTTGATTTATTTTATTTTAGTCAAAATTTACCCTAAGCCAATCCTATAAACCAAATGGAACCTCTTAAACCTGTCAAAGGTTTGGGTCCATCAGCATTCTTGTCTCTTTATTTTCTGATCCCTGTCTTCAGATATATTGCTCCCTGATGATCATTATTGTTCCCGCACCTGTCCAGAGTCCAGACCCTGATACCGGAAGCTACAGTGTTGTCCCGGTTGCCTGGGCAGCGACAACGACAACGCCACCTGGGGGAGGGGGAGAGAGAGAGAGAACACTACTCTGTTCTGTTTCTGTTCGTCTGTTTGTCAGTTCACCTGTCTCGTCTCGCACGCGAAACCAACGTCGCTGCGCTGTGTGCCGCGCCGGTTTTATAGTTTCATTGTTGCGTAGACTCTCTCTTGTGTTTTATTTGTGTTTTACCGTTTCATCCAGTGTTTTGTGTAATGTATCACCGTAGACTGGACGAGTATCTAGTAGCTTGTGTTGGATGCAGTGATCAGTGATCCGTGCAGTTCAATAACCTGGACTCAACATTGTACAGGTAACTTTTCTTATTTAATCAAATTATTCGTTGTTTGGTGTGCGAATAGATATTTTTGTTATACAATAATTCGTTACGGTACTGTATGGTCATGATTCGTGCTGTTTAGACTTGCAGTGGTGTTTACTGGTTTTTGCATGTTACTGCATAGGTCTATTTAGTTATAGGTTTTTTGTACTTTTACAACTTGACGTAGCCTGTCGTGACTTGCTCAAACTAAAACTGTTATCAACGGAATTGTTCAATTGTTAGAACTTTGCTATGAAAATCATCTTTATTTATCATTATGAGTGTCATTGTTATATTGTGACATGGACACAATGGTTTAGCATATTAACCTGATGATGGATTTGAGTGAAAGATAAGCGTTGATGAGTGAGAAATGCTTTGTTTTGTGTAGCTTTGTTACCTACCGTCTAACTCCAGTAAAACCAGATAGTTTATAAGCAGAACCATGTTACTAAATCAATGATAAAGAACAGCATGTTTAACCATCGAGAATAATAACAAAGTTAAATCTCTTTTCTCGGGATCGAACCAGCGACCCTTTGATTGTTGGTAGCCTACAGACCAACAGTAGCATTGTAACCACATGATGTTTGTATAGGCTACAGTAATATGAGATCAACTGCGAAGTGCGAATATGTGATCAAAAACCAAAGATAGAACCATAGATAAAACGTGTTGCTTAGTCTATGATAGAACGTGCATGTGCATGACGTTAGCTACCGTAACACGTTGATTCAGGAATGGCCAATGGGTACAGTTTATTTTATGAGGTTGATCTATTTATCTACAATCTTTATCTTTTGTATTTGAATCTATGCTATGCTTCGAAAAAGTTTAGACGGGTTCGTTTGGTGAGGTCAAGATAATCAATACTGAGAACAGATGGTTATGCTCTTTGGGAGTTGAACTTTTAACAAACATTTGTTTGTCAAGAAACAGCTGATGTTAGATAAACAAAGGTACTTGCACGAAGGACCATAGATAAAACACTACAGATCATCGCTATTTAATCCATTCTAAAAAAACCCGTACTGTGTTCATATTCAGATTATAACAGGTACTGTACGCATAGTAGGGCTACATGCTGTCTTTGTGAAATGTTACAGATGTTTTGTACTACATCTTAGCAATAGGTACGGTACTAAACTAAATGGTACTAAACAATCTCAGTTTACAATAAACAACCGGTTTATAATCTACCTTATATTCAAACAATGGTGCATAAAAAGCACGTTTCATTTAGAAGAATTGTTTGGTTGTTTACTTGTAGTGACCTAACGAACAGAAAGCTTACTTTTAGTAAAAAGTTTATTGTTGGTGATGTTGATTTTATGTTGTTCTGTTGCTCTGTGGGAATTTGTCTTCATTGATTAGTCAACTGGTTTTACTGACAAAACACAAAAGTCTGTGGTAAAACTGACAAGTCATGTTTTGGGATTTGGAATCTGATGCTCTTTAGTTGCGATGAAACCTATACCTATGCTGTTTTGTGGTTTGATTTATAAATTACTAGATTTGTCCAATGGCTATACATAATGTGTATATATATAGGTACAGTATATGAGTATATGCGTGTAATTTTTTCACTGATAACCTATTGCTATCCACTGATTCACTAGATTTGGCTAGTGCTTTGCTGTAGGGTGAGAAATCGTGGAAAGATATTATTTTTTAAACATTCTTAAAAAAAAGAAAAATAATTACACTTAATATATTATTTTTATCAAATATAATCTATCGTTTTTATCGGGCGTGCAGTATTACAAATTTGGTAACATTGGGAAACTTAGAACAAATATAGCCTATTGTTTATAAATTGCATGTAGGTAACGATTTTGACTTAATGTACTTGCCATACTTACTTTTATTCTGTAAACTACTTTCACAAGCATATCATAAACACCTTTCTATGCCTTGGGCAAATCCCTACAAAATGTAAAACATTGATATGTGATCTGTGTTTGTGATTTAGTGAAAATAATCTAATAGTTTACACGTGAACACGTGACACGCAAACTCACATAGACACATTCATAAGTTAGATAGATTAGATTAATTTGTCGCCATAAAGGGAAATGTCAGCTCAAGCCTGTCAAAATGTTATGACGTTTAAGCTCTTTACAATAAAACAGCTGATTCATAGAGTTTAATGCGTAATGAGTTAATGACGTCATTATTATCGCCTCGAGGGGTAGGACTAATTAAGGTTAGTCACTGTTACCGAACACTTTCCTGTAATGTTTAACTAACTTTTGACTTTGCCTAGAGATTAGTGCAGTAGGTCTATATGTGAGTCGATTAAAACTTAGTACTAAACTAATTGTTGATCTAAAAACGCTTTTGATTAAACCCCTAAAACAGTTTGGGTCAGGCTAGGATTATTGCATTTTATTCATGTAAGATATTATGAAATTCAATACAATTTATTTTGAAATTATGAAAATTGAATAGTTATCCTGATCTGACGCAACCTGTAAAAGTTAGGGTTAGTATCTTACAGATTTCGACCCTTAATGTATTCCCTAGAACTGTTCCATGTTAGTAATTTAAAAATATACTATAGTTTAAGATACTCAGTGACGGGTTCTGTTAAAGCGAAAAATTGGTCCTTCGAACCGGATTAACTAGAAATTAACCTTAATGTTAAAAGTTATATGTAATGTTTCTTTTTCTGAAAAATTGAATTGAATTGAAATGAATTTTGATTCCCATTTTTTATTAGTGTTTTTTTTTATTGAATCGGCTTATAGCGAACTGTGGACGCTAGGTTTTAGCTCGGGATTGTTTTCACATTACTGCAGTGGCTAAAGGTTGCGGCTTTATAACTTAGGCTAGATAAAATATTTGCGAATGGCGGGATTTGAACCCAGGACTTCCGAGACCAATGTGAAATCAATTGAAATGATGCCAGTAAATAAGCTTACCATTCTAACCTAACACAACTTGAATTTAAAATATTTAACACCGAATACGGGATTTCACTACGTGTTTAGGTACAAACAAAGACACCTCTTACACAAGCAGGTAACGTTTGCCCACTGCCATTCTCGGTTTCATTTACATCTTGTCATCCCAGGAACTCTTCTACAGCCTACTATTGGTCAGTTTTGCCACAAAAGGCATCACAGCTGTTTTGACCCAGTTACACAATGTTCTTCTTATTCGTGAGTTTACAGCTGCTCAGTTATAGTCTCCAGTATGAAGTCCTTTCGCTCCTCTCCTTCTTGGGATTCAGATTACAGGCTTGTCAATACTCCGTGAAGAGTTGTTATGTTTATTGCAGACTGACTCCAGACTCCAGTCCATCTGTGGACGATTTTACGAAGCAATTTCCTGCAAGTGTTGTTGGCGGGAAGAGGAGTTCTTTGATTGGATTTTGTGTTCCGTAACTGTTGAACCAAATGGATATTGGTATAGTAAAACAGTTTTGATTGCAATTAGAGATAAACAAAGATATTCCGTGCAGTTTATTAGTCTATTCGTGCTTAACGGAACATTAGTCAGAAATTAAAACGATGCATAACGGTTGCTACAAACTACTGTTATTACCAATGATTATGTATTTCTCGTTGACAAGGTACTGTGTTTTGGCTAAAGTCTACTAACTATGGCCATTTTATTTTTATATTACATTCTATTACCGTTGTACCCAGTATTACACTGGCTTTGTAACGGAAATAGAATGTCTTGTACTGTCCTTGGTTCAAGTTTCAACCATTTCACAGATACACAAGCCTATATGCATTTCTCAGCTCCTAGGTTTGTCTACCTTTCACTACGGATGGGCTAGACTTTCGATTTTAGTTCTATAGTTTCATGTAGTCGAATGAGCCAACTTTTTGACCAAGTCCAACTGAAATGACAACTTATCGTCGTAACCCACGTCAACTATCACAGCAACAACAGATAATATTTATGTACAACAATCTGCGAGTCTACCATCAACTGTGGTCTTTTAGAATAAAATAAAACATAGATGTCTACAAGTATCTAAAAGTCACTGCTTCTACTTTACCATGAATTTTGCTGGGTTTTCTATGGTTCAAAGCTTCAACTCTCTCGCAAAAAGCTAATGCGTTCTCACACCTCGACTTCCAGGTTTGTCCAGAACACGCTCACATACCAGGCCATCTATCATCCCTGTGGCTGCCTGAACCTCTGGTAGAGAGTGCGATTTGCCAGGAGAAAGTAGATTTGTTCACACTCAGCCACAGCCTCCGGACAACACGTGTGGGACTGATTGAATGTCCTTAGCAGTTTACCGTTGCCAGGACTGATCTTATCGCCGTGTTTGATGTGGCCGCTGTTTAATGGTATAGCACGTAGAGGGATTGTTCCGAAGATTGCCTATCACGATTAGTAAATATACTTTATCACGAAGATTTGGGATCTGGAATATCCGGTACTTGGGTGATAAAGTACTAAACCATAACAATGTTAGTACACAAAACTAGCCAAATCGGAAAACCATAAAAGAAACCCCGCATAGAGAAACGAGCCTACCATCTTGTGTTGACGTGTGGGCCTACATTTGTACAATTTGTCGTTTTTCTTTAATCTGGTTTGTAGTCTTCAATCAATGTGGTTTTACTTGGTGTTTTTCTACTTTTCCTGAAGTGTACTTAGGGAAATCTTGTTACCTCTGATACTTTTTCATCCGAGGCGATATCAGGTTCCAGATCCCAAAACCTTGTGAAACGGGTTTCGAAAATCATAACGAAAAGTTTCAGCAACATCACCTTGAATAACACAAAACTTATCATAATCAACAATTCACTTTATCAAAGGACATGTTTGAGTTTGCAACAATTACGAGTTAGGACTGTTATGTGTGCGATGTATCTTGACAAGACAAGACTAATCAATGCAGAGACCGTTTAGTTGTAGATGAGGAGTGATTGTGGTGACAACTCGCTCAAGGTAGGAAATCTTTAGTTAGGCATTCAAGCATTATTAGTCAATCTAGTTAGAACATTTTACAAAACTAGTCG